AGGTTTATAACCTATCGTGTTGACATATTCTGTGCCCATTCCAGTTAAAGTTGGCTTTGCATATGAGTTCTTAGAGTTCTCAATGTGTTGCACAACAACTTGGAAGCAATGGTGGGCCCTTGAGCTGCCAGGTGGCAAGAAATTAAGATTGAGTTCAGTCCATATGAGTTTGGATTTGTCATTATCCCTTTCTTGTGACTATGGTTTTGACAATTCACATGGATAAGAACACATACACCATTAAATCTAAGTGTCATAAGGTTTCTCTCCGATTCATGAAAATGATGGTGAGGAAACACTTTCACTAAGTAGATTTTAGATAGATAGCAATTGTGATATTTGCATTCTCAAAGTCGTTAGTGGAGCGTGTGTGGTTTACCGGCACACTAACCTGGACTTGTGAGAAGTGGCAAAAAGGTCTAACCATTATGATTACGGCATCCCTCTTCATAATTGTTTAGATACACAAGTGTGCTATCTAAGGGAAGGTGTGTGATTCTGATAAAGTTCTATCAAAACAATCTAGTATCAGAAATCTGAACTTTGGTAAGAAAGTCAATAAAGTATTGATTTCTAGAAGTCCAGCTGATTTCTGAGTACATGTCAAAGCTAGTGGGAGCATAAGTGTTATGCTAATAATCATCATGTTAGTGGGAGCATGATAATTATGATAAGTATTGCAAGTTAGCAATGTTAATTATAGAAAACAAAAGGTTTCAATTGGGAAAAAGTTGTTTTGCTATAATTAAGGGAGAGGAAATTATACTTCATCTCAAATCTATAAGCTTAGATCGTGAGGTTTACTTCATCTCAAATCTATAAGCTTAGATCGTGAGGTTTTAATCATTTAGTCAAGGAAATATATATGAATTTCATGTTGGAATGGCTCAACATAAGGAAATTCTGTATATGGGTCCATTATTTGCGTTCTAAAAATCGATTATGATTACGGCATCCCTTTTCATAATATGAATTATGAGAACTTGGCAAATAGAAATGGAAATGTTATAGCAAAAGACTGGTTTAGTCTTTATGTGAGACATCATGAATCGTGTCCCATATGCTTCGGATATAGGATCGATTACATGTGCTATAGTTATCCGTTCTAAAAGTTTTCCAAATGCCTGGGGCATTAAGAAGGGAAAAGGTTTAGAACTGGATATGACTAAAAGGATTAAACAATTGTCGAGGACAATCTAAGGTTTACCAAAGATTGGTTGCTCAAGGACAGTTGGAAGTATAGTGATAATTCTGGAAGGACCATATTGACATAATCTGTAAGGAGGCAACTCTTGTTCAGAAGTGATAGTCAAAATGGAATCTGGAAATGTTTCAAAGTTAGAATTTTCAATCTGTGTAAGATTAAGGAAACTTAATGCAAGAAGGATGTTTCCAAGGAGGATCTCCTTTGGAATGCTCTGTAATGATTGTTGTCAAGTCTTTATGACTTTGTGCATAATCATTACAAGAGGATCAATGCATATAAGTTTAGAATCTAACAGATTTCAGTAAATGACATGAATTTGGAATTCTTGCATTTGCAGTAAGGATTTGGGAGTGTGAAAAGAGAATCATTGAAGTTATGTTCAATTGATCTAGTTCACAAAGTAAAGATCATAGACAAACATAGTATGCATACTTGGTGTATGGCATGACTAGTGTTTAGAAAACATAGTGTACATGCTTGGAGCATGGGACAACTATTGTTTTAAATTCAAGAATAAAGTTGATAGCTGAAACAGTATACAATGAATAATGTGTAATCATATGGTGATAAATAAAAGTGTTTTATTTATATTCATAAGTTTGAGACCATATTGGATTCAATTATTATTGTGTTTCACTTTGCATGTTTTGACTTCCCGAATAAACTAGGTTATTCTTCCGGAATGACTAAGTTATTCAAACCATCCACAGTCGGTCATATGTTGGAAGTAGATATGAATTAAGACTGTCATGGGTTGGCTTGTAGAGGTCTAAGGTGTTGGACAAATGGCTACAACACTCATGAGTGCTCATAAGTTCTGAGTATTGGATTCAACCCGCGCTCATTGGAATCACTTCATGGATTTTATCACGAGTGATCATGAGACGATAATATCTTATATTCTTCAAACCTAGAGATATGAGTTGTTACTATGAGTTGGTTGTACATTGATTGCACGAAACTGCATTTGGTAACTCGGTGCTATAAAACGTCTTTGTGTATGATTCAACAAGTAGTAGAACAAGCCATATGAGTCGAAGTTTATCCATTCCTTTTACCTTCGGGATAAAAGCGATATCTGTGGGCCCCTCGATGATTTGATGATGACAAATGGAAGTGCTCGGCCGGGCCAGGACTGATTTGATTTGTTCAATTAGTCAGTCGTCATAAATCGGAAATCGGGAAACAACAAATGGACAGAGAGAATGATTATAATCCATGTCTCAGTCCATATGATATCTAGAATGGAGGAATATATGATCCCTTATCTAATGGACAAGTCATTGACAAAGGTCAGAGTTCATCTACAAGGTCAGAGTTCGACAGAAGCTTTTGAGAGCTACGATTGCCAGTTGGTTCCTGAAGTCATACGCAATAATAGTTTTAGACTTATCCAAGTGGGAGACTGTTGGATTAATGTCTAAGTCCATAACTATAATTGGTAAGACTTGACCCGACCCGGCATGGTCCATTTGGGTTGCATACCATCATGCACTTGGATAGACTATAATGAGAGAAATAAGACACTTATGGTTATTAATATATTATAAGTTCTAGTATATTAATAATAAGAATAATGAGATTATTTAATTAGTATTGATCAAGAATTAATCTAGGATTAATTAAGTGATCAAAAGAAGACTAATTAAATATATAGGTTTATTGTGTAAATCATCCATACTTGTATAGTGGGCTAATGCTCCATGGATTATCTAGTTGGGCCAAAACCCATATGATGCTCCATGGATGCTCCATGGTATATTTGAACCCATGGATCCAAGGAAATGGAAAGTCATGACAATTGGAGTTTACCCTAATTGTATAACTATATAAGCATCTTATTCTTGAGGAAAATCGGCCACTAGTGAGAGTAAGAAAGGGTTAGCCGATTTTCATGAAGTGTAGAACTCTCTCAAGTTATTCTAAGTGTTTTGATGAGTGTGAACCATTTGAGGTGTCACACTTGGGGCACTAGGCACTCAAGCTTCATGAAGACATTCTACATCAAAGAGGTATGTATTCTATCTTGTTATATTGATAGTTTTGTATGCTAGATTAGGATAATACCTTGGATGTTCATATTTGCATGTATAATAGAGAAAACATAGATCCAAGGTATTTATGGTTGCATGTACACTTAGGAGTGTTAGAATGCTCATAACCCAACACATTCAACATAGACAGCAAGTATTCAGATAATATGCACACATAGCACGTAGTTTATATTAAATACTTCATATATATGTGTAAGATGAAAGGGACTATGCACTCACCTGATTAGGTGGTGATTCCGAACTCAGACAGCACTTCATTATCTCAAAACAATTTTCCTCGACAAAACCTAGTATCAATACCACCAGGGTTTAGTTTTTAACGTTAACCACGACTAATTAATAGTCTAGCTATTATTACTATTATATAAGCGTTAAATAACACTCAATATAACTCATAATAATAGCCCAAATAATTATTTTAAGGTCCTAATAATATTACTATAATTAAATAAAATCTATATTAAATATAGTATAGGCGTAGCTCACTTACAGCGAGTTTTTATTAAAAACCGGGCTTCGCTGGAGCAGCGTTTCCAAGCCGAAAGCTTTTCTTCTCGGAGCCGTCGGGCGCTCCGGGGCTTTCTTCTCATGCTAGGGAGGTTCTGTAGACTTGGGAGGGGTTTAGGGAGGCTAGAGAGAAGTTAGAGAGAGAAAGAGAGGCTTATGGTGTGAAGAAAATATGAGGAGTTCACCCTTGTATTTATAGGAGTTTTATAGTAAAGTAGTCTCTAAGCTTCGTCCGTAACTTTTGCATACGAGCTCCATTTTTGTCTGTCTTTTTACCGTTGAGTTCCTATTAATGAGATCTTCAACTTTCATTTAGACCTCGTTGACTAATTCTCATTCTATCTCGGATTTACAAAACTGTATCGAATTCGCCGCGCTCGAAAAGTAGGGACTAAGCTTCGTCCATAACTTTCGCATACAAGCTCCATTTTTGTCTGTCTTTTTACCGTTGAGTTCCTATTAATGAGATCTTCAACTCTCATTTAGACCTCGTTGGCTAATTCTCATTCTATCTCGGATTTACAAAACTGTATCGAATTCGCCGCGCTCGAAAAGTAGCGTCTAAGCTTCGTCTATATCTATCTCATACTATCTCCGTTTTCGAGGTTATTTATATCCATGCGTAGGTAAAAATAATATCTACAACTTTCATTTTGGCTCCGTCGGCTAATTCTCGACCGATCATAAATTTAACAGTAGGAGGCGTTTAGACTGTTAAATGACCGCGAAGAATTCATAACTCCTTCATACGGACTCCGTTTTTGTCTGTCTTTTTACCGTTGAGTTCCTATTAATGAGATCTTCAACTCTCATTTAGGTCACGTAAGTCAAAAACCGCTCGAACTAAAATTCGAGTTTCGGGTCGTGCACTGCTAAGCCGAATCTTAGAAAAATCATAACTTCCTCATACGAAGTCAGATTTGGGCGTTCTTTTTATCGACGCTCTTAATTTAACATATTCTAAGACTTTCATTTAGATTGCTAAGGATAAATCTCACTCTATCGTAAATTCACTATTTACGCTTCCTGGTGTCGTGCCGGTTTTTGCCGTAAAACTTCGACGGGCCATAACTTCTTCGTTATAACTTGGATTTCGACGTTCTTTATATGTACGGAAACCTTGCGACATATTCTACAACTTGGTTAAGATTATTTATTCTAAATAATCTTTTGTCGAAAAGTCATTTTCGACCCCTATTACCTCTAAATTGACGAGCCCGGATCTGCGGGCGTTACAGTTGCCACCTGAATCAAATCATTCATATTCATCAGAGGGAAATCTGCAATTGAGAAGTCAACTACAACATTGTTTTCCCTCACTATGTGGTATCGAAAATTTTGCAGCATATTCTCAAACAACACATCCTTCGTTATGCTAATCACTTGCATAATCTTCACAAGAGACCAAACGTCATCAGGTTCCTTTCCTAACACTGCATGAAATCTCAGCTTCATATGAATGTAATCATGTTGATCCTTCAAGTTATCGACAATCTTGTACTGAGCCGTGAGAAACATCATTTCGTTTATTGGAAAATCAAGTTGATTCATATCAATGTTCTCTATAGCATAACTCCTCCTTGGCTTCTTCTCAAAATTATGCATTTCATTATAAGCAACCCTTGCCTTGATATTCTCATAGTTGTATAATTTCCTCAGATCTCCTTTGTTCAATTTTGGACGATCATTTTTTCGAAGCCTCATCAAGCTCTGAATTTGCCTCTGTTTTTCCATTTCAGCTTCAACCTCTGCTTTCCTTTCTTCTTTCGATTTTTCAACAACAATTACTTTCCCTCTATCCATATTTGTTGGAGTTTGAACTTGTTTCGATGAACTTCCTACACTTGTTGATCCAATTACAATGCCTTTCAAAATCCGCCTTGTAGGAGTAACAGTTGCAATCACTGGATCGGCCATCGACAATGTTGGTTTTGGTGTAGGAGCATATGCTGTAAAAACCTTCCAAACCACCTTGACTTCTTCACCAGTCATCCCTGAAGTACCTTCTCCTTTTCCAACATGCCTTCTCTCTCCCCCTTGCACCCCTGTGGCAACAGGTGGGGCATTCGTTGGTAAAATACTGAGAAGTTGGGATAATGGGGCCAATTGTTTTTGCAAAGTTGTTTCAAACACACTGAACTTCTGAGTTAAAAACTCAGGAGTTATCAAAGAAGATGAACCAGATTTCAAAACTAGGTCTTTCAGTCCACTTCACAATTGCTTGATTTGCGAAAAGTTGTTAGCCTCATCCACAAACATTTGCTTAACTTTTGGACCAAGAGCTTCATATAGCTTAACAAATTTGGTGACTGCATCAACAATAATGTCAACCTTCTGATTCAATGAAGCATAGTCTTGTTTGCTAATACAATTTCCTTGCTCATATCTTCCCTTAGTTCTTGAAGTTTGGAATTAACATCCTCTCGGACTTTCTTGACATCTTGAACAAATAGGACGTGTCACTCCTTCGCTACTACCTTCAATTCTTTTAAATCAGATGCAAAAGTGGATATCTGATTCTTCACCCTTTTCTCATTATTTCTATCTGAATCTTGAATAGCATCATGAAGACGACTTTCTTGACGTTTGATCATTATATCCATCTCCAAATTGGATATCGAAATTTTCCCTCCTCCATCAGCTTGAATTTGTAGCAGAGAATTAAGCTTTCGATTTAGAATTTTGAATTGTTTCCCTGTTAGAATAATGTTATTTGGAATTTCCTCCTCTTCCACATCAAACTGAATGTCATCAAAAGTGTCATCGAAGAAATTCTCATCATCATCAGTTGGAGTTTGAGTTTCTTCATGAGTAACAGGTGGTTTGGTGGATTGTGAAGAAAATAAGGAAGTAATAGGTTGATCAAGAATGTTATCGAAAGTAGGTGAGTGGGTATCAATAGGAGTAGAAACAAATGGAGGTAAGGTTGTGGAAGTGTCAATGGTGGAAGTTTCGAAGGTAGAAGAAACAATAGTATGAGAAGTACCTTGAGGATGGGTAGTTTCGACATCAGACACCACAGGTGGAGTAAGAACTATTGGAGTTTGTGTAGAAACTTGCGAAGGCTCAATCGTCATGATAACATGGAAAATTGTTGCAACAGTTGAAGTGATTGAAATTGGAGTTTTTGGAATGACCTCGTCTTCAGTAGAATCATCTTTAATCACACACTTTTGAAGTTTCTTCCTCTGTTTCTTCGAAATATGTTTTGCCATATCCTCAGCCTGTCTTTTCTTCGATGCAGGAGACACGTGTTCTTGAACTGCTCGAAATATAACACCTTTTCTAGTTATTTGAGGTTTCACCGTGTAAGCAGGAGATGATGGATGTGTATTCTTCTTCAATTTCTTTAATACACCAGTTTGATAGGGTAGAAATGTTTCCTCGGGCTTCTTAGTCACAATCGGAGGTAGAGAACTTTCTTCTTGCTTCTTTGATTTTTCACAACTTTTGGAGAAGAGCTCTCAGCTTGCTTCTTCGGGCCTTTTTGTGATTTAGGCTTTGACGAAGATAATAACACCCCAATTTTGATAGCAGGATTGATAGTCTTCAAATAATAAATCAACACAGGATGAGCCGGATCAATCTTTTGAAGCATCGCATCTGGAATGCGAGCAACAGAAGGAAAAATATTCATATCATCCTCCACAGATTTGGGAAAGTGAAAGATTGGAAATGATGCACTGTCTTTGTCTTGTGGAACATCTATCCCTTCCTTCTCATATGCATACTGCAGAATGAGACTCCATTAATGTGCACACGAAATACCATCGACTGCATTTGTGGTCGCAACACTCTTCACGAATACATTCCATAGCTGAGTAGCATAATCTAATTGGAGATCATAGTATAACCCTGCAACCATTACGTAGACCTCCAATCTGCCCTTATCCAATCCCACAGTACGACCCGTAAGACACCGAAGATAAATGGCGAAGAAAAAAATTCCACAAACAGGGCAAACTTGACTTCTTGAATTCACTGATTTTGGTTAATTGTGGCTGATACCCCATCTCGTTGAACATATGTATAACAGTGATCAGGAAATTCTTCATTTATAAAACCTAGAGGTTGTTCCATATATATCATTTCTTCAATTTCACCATTAAGAAATGCACATTTAACGTCCATTTGATATACATCAATGTCTTTATGAGCTGCATAGGCTAAAAATATTCGAACAACCTCGAGTCTTGCGACATGGGCGAAGGTTTCTTCATAATCTATACCTTCTTGTTGTGAATTACCTTTTACAACAAGCCTAGCTTTGTTTCGAAAAATATTACCATCTTTGTCGGTTTTATTTTTGAAAATCCATTTTAACCCGAAAATCGAAACATCTTTTGGTTTAGGAATCAATATCCAAACCTTGTTTCTTTCGAATTCAGCCAATTCAGATTGCATTGCAACAACCCAATCTGAGTGTTCCATTGTAGCCTTAACTGACTTTGGTTCAATTTTTGAAATAAAAACATTAAACATGATGAGCATTGAGTAACTCATTCTTTGCACGTATTTTTGCTCTTGTTAACACTCCTTCATGTGGATCACCTATCACTTGTTCTTTAGGAAGATTTTTAACCCATTTATCCATTGGAGGATATGCTGGATCAAAATCTAAAGGCGCATCCTCGAACATTTCTTTATTTTCGAATCCTGTAACAGAAATGTTATCAATTAAATCATGAAAAATTTCAACATTAATATCATTCGACACATTATGCTCACCTTTGACATTTGTATTTCCATGTGACCCCCCTTAACAATATCAACCATTCTTCTATTCCCCCCTTGAAAGAATTCTCCCCCTTAACATGATAATTTGAATGCAAGTGCTCCCCCTCCACTTGATTAGGTGGCATACTTTCTCCATTTTCTGAAGAATGAGAGGTCAAAGATTGAACTACTGCATCTTGAGTAAGTGTTCAAACTTCATAATGTTTTGTTGATTCAGGAGTTTGACTGTCTTCTACATTGACTTCAGCATCAACAACCCTATCTGGAAATCCAAAAATTAAATCATAATCAAAATCAGATGAATTAATACTATCAATATCATCTTTTGATTCATTAATAATCAGCTTTTTGTCAAAACATTTGTCAACTTGTTTGATATAATAATCATGAAAAATTAAGTTGAACGTTTCTTCAATTTTTCGAGTTCAATGATTCAATACTCGATAGACAACTGATTTATGAGAATAACCCAAAAAAAATTCCTTCGTCAGCTTTGGACTGAAATTTCGAAAGATTATCCTTGAGATTCATGATAAAAAACTTGCAACCAAAAACATGAAAGAATTTGACTTTAGGCTTTCGATTATTGATGATTTCATAAGGAGCAATATTGAATCTTCGATGAATGAACAACCTGTTATGTGTAAAACATACGGTGGTGACTGCTTCGGCCTAAATATATTGAGGAAGGTTCGCATATATGAGCATTGTTCGTGCTGCTTCACAAAGAGATCGATTTCGCCTTTCAACAACACCATTTTGCTGAGGTGTGTAAGGTGAAGAAAAATTATGTGAAATCCCCTTATCAGTTAAAAATGAATCAAGAACATGGTTCTTAAATTCAGAGTCGTTATCACTTTTAATCATTCGAACTTTCTTCTTCAAACTTGTTTCCATTTTCTTAATGAAATCAATCATTACTTGAGAAACTTCAGATTTTAACCTAAGAAAATAAACCCAAGTAACTTGAGAAAAGTCATCAACAATAACCAAAATGTATCGTTTCTTGTTGAGAGTTTCAACAATTGATGGTCCACATAGGTCAATGTGAAGTAATTCCAATGGTTCAACAATCTTCGAATCAATGATAATTGGATGACCTTGTCTATGTTGCTTCCCTTGTTCGCAAGCTGCACACAAAGTATTGTTATCAAATTTTAAAACAGGCAAACCTCTTACCAGATCTTGAACCACCAATTTGTTCAGATTTCGAAAGTTCAAATGTGAAAGCCTTTGATGCCAAAGCCAGCTAATATCTGAAGAAGCTTTCGAGATTAAACATACTGATGGTTTCCCAACAATAGAATTGATGTAGAGAGTGAACATGTCGCCTTTACGCTTTGATTTAAGCAAAACTTCCTTTGTCTAAATGTTCGAGATTACACTGCCTTCTTCGTTAAACACCACTTGATTTCCAGTGCCCACAACAAGTTGCGAAACACTGATCAAGTTATGTTGAAGACCTTTGACATAGCGACTCTATTGACAATGAAAGTTTCATTATTGATTTTCCCAAAACCTCGAACATGATATTTACGACTGTTTCCAAACTTCACAACTCCTGTATTCTCTAAAGATCGATAATCTCGAAGATTATCCTTTCAACTCGTCATGTGACGAGAGAAACCACTATCAATATCCCATTATTCATCATATTGTTCGTCACACATAACCTGCAATTAATGGAAAAATTTTGGTCCCCAAGGCTGTTTGGGACCTGGGTTATTAGATTGAAAAATATTTGGAAACTAAGAACGTTTAATCCAACTACAATCTTTCGACTTGAGACTATCAACTAGGTCTACTTCATTAGTTGAAGGTACAAAAAAGTAAGTATTCTGTGATTTAAAATAAACATTGACATTTTCCTTTTCCTTCGTAGCTGGTGTCACAACCGTTGTTTTTGGAAAAGTTGTAAACTTTTTAACATAAATGTTCGACTCTAAGGAAGAGGAACTTGCTTTTGAAGAGTCATTCAAATATTTCTCATATTCCTCCTTAATCACTTCTTGAGAGAATTTCTATGATTGATATTTCTTCCCTTTTCCTTCGAACCAGTGATTAATATTCTTCACACTTGTTGGTCCTTTAACAAATGATGATTTGACAGGTTTTTTTGAAGGTGGATTTTGAAACGGAGTTGGAGTAGGCTTGAAATATTCGACCTTCCTTTCTTTGATTGGTAACTTCTCTAAAGGTCGTGTTGGTTTTCGTGTTGAGACATATGGGGTATAACGAGTTTGATAACCAACATTATTTCTTTTGAAAGAAGATTGCGGTTTTATGGTTGGATTTTGATGAGAAGCTTGATGAAAATTTGGTTTAGCATTTAAAGGAAAAACCTTTTGTTGAAAATTATTTAAAGAAAACCTTTGATGTGATTGATTTTTATGAAAAGGCTTGGGTTTTACATAATTCTCATGAATAGATGTTTGATCGTTAGAATTAAGAGTGGATTTTTATGAAAACAAATTCTTTGTTTTTGAAACTTTTTCCTCTGTAACAAAAGACACTTTTGTGATTTTGAAGTAACTGAATGTGTTGATTTGACATTTTGATTTTGCTTAATTGTTTGTTTCTTTTCTAAAGATGTTTGAACACATTTAGACTTTGGCTGTTTAGAAGATTTGTTAAGCAACGCATCAGATTTCTTCCAAGACTTCATGTTATTCCAAAACACTTTCGTTCAAGCTTGTCTCTTTGAAATATTGTTATCTTTCGAAATTTTGTCAATTTGATCTTTAAATTCTTGTGAATTCATTTAGATAGTTTTAGAAATAACCTCACTTTTCTCATAATCAGCATTTTCTTTTTCAACTTTTCAACCCTAACTTGTTTTGTTTTGACTGGTTTTTCAGTTACTTTGACACTTGTGGATTATTCAGACCAATTTCGATGTGGTTTTTGTCTTTAAAAGGTGTAAGAATTTTTCGTTAGATTATTTTCAACTGTGTTTTGATTTGAGAAGAACCCTTCATCTGTTATGTGCTTCTTATCTTCTTCAACCAACTTGTTAAATTCAAGTTTGATGTCATCAACATCCCAGTTGTAACGAACACCTGATTTGGGAAGATGACATCATTAATGCATACAAAATTTTGGATACACAATCGTGTTTGTTTCGAGATAATGAGCACCTTTTTCTTTCATCATTTTGTCAAATTTGTCTGTTTCACCATATACTTGATCTTCAACAATTCTAGGTATCTTTTTTTCTTTCAAAACATTAGGAACTTGTGTTTTTGCTGGCACTTCATCATCATCATTGTCCGTTTGACTATCTTCGATAGTCACATGGTCATAGTCACTAGTTTTTGAAGTTAAAGGTTGGTCAATGTCAAATTTAACTTTAGAATCTTTACATTTTTCTTTACCTTTAACCTTTGAAGTGACATTAATGATAGACAACTGAGAACAACCAATTTCTTCTTCTTCCTCAGTTTCACTGATTTCCCTAACATTATCAAAATTATCTTCGAGATCAGCAAAATTAGATTGAGAGTCAGATATCGATTTCTCAGTTCTTTTCAAAATCTTGATTTGTTCATTTTTGGTCAAAGTCTCATTCACAATATTAACTAACTCATTTGCATCTAAATATTCATCTATTTTGACTACTCCATAAGCACACCTATTATCTTGAACTTTATCAAATTCAACCATGGTCTTTTCATAGTCATAGGATATCCTATCTATATTTTCTCTTTCAAAAGTTAAAATGGAAACAATTTCCTATGTTGTTCTTTGATGGTATCAGTAGAATGATGCAAAGCAGTTAATTTTGCATAAAGTCGTTTAGTCGTATTACAATAAATGTTTCTTTGAGCAAGTAGCAATTTAACATCACTATTCAACGAATTCCTATCACACAATAGATTTGTATCTGTAACTCTAGATAATCGGATTTTATTTTCTTTGATTCTAACTGCTTCTGAACCTCCAGCATATGGGTACAAGATTTCTTAGCTTTGTTACTAGCAGAAATAACCAAAGTATCAAAATAAGCAATAATATCATCACAATCAATTAATTCAGAATCATAAGCACTTAAATAAATATTGAAAGATTGTAAAGTAGAACGTACATTTGTTATCATTGGTGATTTGTCTCCTCTCTTGGTCATGAAACAATGACCAGTCACCTCTTCTTCATCATCTTCTTCAAACTTTGTGTACATCACACCATGCGTAGGATTACGCATCTCCTCGTCATTAGATCTGGAAGACAAAATCTGATACGTTCCTTCATCATCAACTTCACCTCTCGCCACCAAAGACATTCCTTTTGTCTTTGCCCTGACTTCCTCCAGACGTTCGACATAGTATGCTTCATCTTTTATCTTGTTTTTCTTTTCCTCTTTCTTCCTGAGCATACAGTCACTTGCCATGTGATTAGCCCCATGACAATAGTGACAATCGATTCCAGAGTCTCCTTTAAGCTTCTTTTCGACTTTAATATCTTCAACCTTTACTTCAATCTTCTCACTCTTCTTCTTCTCCTCTCCTCCAACTATAGTCACAAAATTTTCTTTTCCATCACCAGATTTAGATTTTGGATTAAAAGGTTTCTTGAAAACCTTCTTTATTTTATTATTCGAGTAAAATGCAAAAGCTTTATCATCAGAATTCACCAAAAATCCTTCTTCTTCAGAATCTTCTTTCTCAACTATGTCTTTCTCAGTAGCTTTCGAAATCAATGCTAGTGGTCCTACAAGACTCATTTACGATTCTTCAGCAATTTCAATTACATCACCTTCATGAATTTTTAGCTAATTGTACAAATCATTAAGTGTTGAAGTATTGAAACTTTGTTGCGTTTTAACCATCAAACTAACATTCCTCCACTCCTTGCGTAAGCCCATGATGAAAGTGAGATTGAACTCCATGGTTGATCTTGTGATTCCATATCGGTTACACTTGTAGATGAGTTCGTTCAATTGATCATAATAGCCTTCAACAGATTCATCATCCTTCTGTTTGTACTCTTTTAACTCAATCAAACAGTGCTTCACCAAATTAATCTTTGTCTTTTCACTTCCT